CTCTGCCTTACCAGCCTGAGTACAGGTTGATGTTGAGTGTCAAAGTGGTTTCCTGAGTCCTGGAGTGGTAAAGACTTCACAGACATCTGGTTTCAGGTCGCCATGGAGGTGGCCTGTGGTACTTCCATCAATTGTACTTTATGGCTGGAGGCTTCAGTGGAGTTTGATGGGAAATTCTGGGACAAATTCCCATTGTCTCGGTAAGAATGTATACATCTAACTTCATTGGGCTCTTTCAAAGATTTGTGTTTAATGTCTCAAAATACACTTTGCCTTATGCACAATCAGAAGTAGTTGAGGCTTTTTTTAATATACAGCCTGAAAGAGTTCATCCGTAGCTTTACTCTGGTCTTAATCATTTAAAGCAACAGCATTAGACTCTTCTAAAATATGTATTGTGTATAAGTTGTGTATTGTATGTAGCAAAAACCTTTAAAATGTAGAGGTTTGCATTGTGATCATCTTTTACAAATTAATAGTCTGTAAATGTAGAAAAAATGTATAAGAACAAAGAAGAATTGTATTTGAATGAAATAACTGTGAAAGAGAGTAGTAAATATGAAATAATTTCTACCAAAAATGTTGAAAAGCAGTGCACTTAGAGAAGAAGGAAAAGGTAAACCAAGGTAAACATGATGTAAGTATATGGACTGTAGATACAGGCTGAAGGCTCTGTAGTTTTGTGAGAAATAGAACTGGTGACATTACATTGCCATGGCTTGATTAGGTTTTTAGATTCTACATGGCTATTGTGGAAGTTCTCCGCTGTTGTTGTGGCTTTTAAAACTGTAAGCTCAAATATTTGTATACTTGTGTTAGTTGCCAGAGTGGTGGCACATGGCAGCTTCCTTGCTGTTGTAGAGCAGATCGGCCTTAGGAACTCGATGGTTTGAGAAAACATGGTTGCTGAGACCAGACCAACCCTCATGTCAGGGATGTTACATGATTCTTGATATATAGGTGAAAAATAAAAAAAATTGATGGTCGAAGTCTGAAAAGATGTAAATAAAAGTGAGTTTTACCATCTCTATTCTAGCCTTAGCTATTGTCAGTATTGGTGCAAGGTACAAGTGATGCAAAGAATGCCACTGTTAAAGGCCATGTGGTTGCTTATTAGTACAAAATCCTTTCATTCTACTTTGATTTCCTTCTCTTAATTTGGAGCTGTGGGGATATTTTGTTAGTTCACTACCCTGCTGTACTTGAAGCAGGTTTCTAAGATTCATGGCTTCACATGTAACACTGCTACTACAATTTACAATGTACTTACGATTGGAGAAAAAAACTATTGTCAATACAATCTTCAGTGAGTCCATCCCATTGGGAAGTACTAGATAAGGCATATATTGTGGAAGATTTCAGAGCAGATTTTAAATTAGGACAAGTCAAGAGTTTAACAGCAGTGGACCTTAAACAGCCAGGAAGATGACATATCCTTGAAGATGAGAAAAGATAGAGAATGTCTTCTTCCACCCTAAAATATTAGAAAATTCCTCCAAACACATCCCAGAATCTAACCTTTTATCATCCAGGCTGATTTGAGCATACAGGAAACCAAATTTGGTTTTCCTTTCTAATTGGTTTTACATGGAGCAAAGACTACAAAGCCTTTCATTCATATTATTTAATTAATATGACTATTTGTTTTGATTATTGATTATTAAATAAATGCAAATCCAGTCACCTGTGGAGAAAATAAAGGTTTTCACAATCTGCTTTCCAAGAGTCTTTTATCGCCAACAGTCTTAGAGAATGTTTTCAAATCATTAGGTACCAGGAATATTTTGAAAACTTCTAATAAAAAAATCTCAAACCTTTAAACTAAAGGTGTCAAGTAAGCAGTCATTTTTCTAGGAATTTTGAAAGGATTTTGGCCTTCTATGGAAAACATTCATTTAAACTCTGGGTGTTGTGCCTGAAGGCAGTACTCCAGAGGCAGAAGGCTTGTTTGGGTGAGCAGGGATCTTCTCTTGGAAATGAGACTAAAAGGAAGGTGTGAGCCCAGTGGCAGCAAGCTCAGGTGACATGGGAATAACACTGGAATGGTGTTTGCCAGTGTAGGGAGAAAATTTGTGTTGTCAAATCTCAACTGGACATGAAGCTGCCAAAATGCAGGGAACAATAAAAAGAGTTGCTTCAATATCACTGACAAAAGGCATCTTAGAAATAAAATGAGGCCATTATGGGTAAGGATGGTCATGTCACAAACAGGGGCATGGTCAGGGCAGAGGTGTTTAATGCATTCTTTGCCTCTGACTTCTACATGGATAACAGACCAAGGGAGGCTCTGTGCCCTGGCCTTCCAGGACCATGACTGCAAGAATGATCAACTTGCAGTTGACCCTGAAGTTGTATGGACCCTGGTGCTCCAGCTGGATCCCTACAAATCTGTGGGACCTGACTGGGATTTATTCAAGAATCCTCGAAGAGGTATAGTTGTCATTGCAAAATCTCTCTCAATTATATTCATGGGGTTTTGGGAGTCCAGAGAGGTCTCAGCTGACTGAAAGCTGGAGAATGTTGCCTCATGTTTCAGAAGTGGTAGGCCCCTGGAAACTACAGGCCTGCCAGTTTTGTTTCAGTGCCCTGTAAAGTCATGGTCAAGATTATTCTGGGAGGTACTGAAAACTTGGAAGACAATGCATTCATCAGTCACATCCTGCACAGCTTCATGAGATGGAAGAGTCCTGCTTGTTAAACATGATTTCGTTCTATGACAAGGTAGACCACTTTGTTGATCAAGGGAAGCCAGTTGATGTAATCTTTTGGGGTTTCAGCAAAGCTTTTCATAATATCTCTTTCAGAATCCTTCTGGACCTAATGTGCAGCCCACAGCTGGATAAACACATGTGGTGGGTGAGCAGCTGGCTCATGGGTCGGGCACAAAGGGTTACAGCGAATCGGCTGACATCAGACTGGGGACTTGTCACTGGTGGGGCTCCTCAGAGCCCTGCCCTCAGCCCTATGCTCTTCAACATTCCAGAAATGACTTGGATTAAGTACTTGATAGAATACTAAGCAAGTTAGTTGATAATACTACATTGGGAGAAGCTGCCATCTCCCTCAAGGGCAAAGAGGCCCTGCAGAAAGACCTCAATAAATTTGAGGACTGCAATCACCAACCACAAGAAGTTTAATAAGGGCAAGTGTTGGATTCTGCACCTGTGATGGCTGAGCCCTGGTTGTGTGTGTAGACTGGGGAATGGGAGGCTGGAGAATAAGACCCTGGAGAGCAGCAGTGTGGAAACAGACTTAAGGATCCTGCTCGATGACAAGTTGAACATGAGTGAGCAGTGTCCTAGCGGTCCTGGGATGCTTCAGGCACAGCATCAGCAGCCAGCAAGGGAGGGGATTGTTCTGCTGTGCTCTGCACTGGGCTAGCCTCACTATGTGCAGGGGGCTGGTTTGGGCACCACAATATAAAAAAGATATTAAGCTATTGGAGAATGTCAAATGGAAGGCCATGAGAATGGTGAAGTGTTTGGAGGGGAAGCTGTGTGAGGAGCAGTTGAGTCTTGCCTTTTCAGCTTGGAGGAGACTGAGGGAAGACCTCACTGTGGTCTCATGAGGGGAGGGGACATCTGTCATGACCAGTGACAGACCTTGAGGAAACAGCATGAAGCTGAGTCAGTTTCAGTTGGATATTAGGGAAAGACTTTTCACCCAGAGGGTGGTTGGGCACTGGAACAGGCTCCCCAGGGAAGGGGTCACAGCACCAAGCTTGCCAGAATTGAAGAAACATTTGCACTCTCAGGCACAAGGTGTGATTCTTGGGGTGTCTTGTGCAGCACCAGGACTTGGACGTGATGAACCTGATGGATCCTTCCAGCTCAGGATATTACATGATTCTGTGAATGCTATGGAGCTGAGGGTGGCAGGCTCTGCATCTGCCATCCCCAGAGGTGGAGGAAGGCTTTGTCTCTGCTTTCTGGGTGTAGGGTCAGTCCATGGCCTATCTGCTTGGAGGCCTGTCTGCTCCAGTTATGCCAGGCATGGCTGCTCCCTGGAAAGAGACATTTTGTAAGAAGCAACTGTAGTGAAGATTTGTGCTGCCTTCAAGGCTTGTTTCCAACTGCTCTAGTAAAGAAATGGAAAACACACCCGTGTGTAAGGTACCAAAAAGCTTAAAAAAATTGGTCCTAAAAGTGGGCGGTCAGCTCCGAGTGGGGATGTGCTGGCGTTCACCTGCAGATGCCATTTCAGCTGCCAGCACAAGTAAGCACACTCCCAGCTGAATTTGGGAACCCAGGCCATGCTAGGCCTGGACAAACTCCCTTCTCGTGGCCAGACTCACGGGAGCCAGGTACAGCAGCAATGACTGGGGGGTTCTGCTGTTGTCCTGTGGCCCCCAGGACCTGAAGAAGGCTGGAGGCATTGTGCTGCAGAGTCTGCATGCATTCAGAGCTGCACTTCTTCTCCCCAAGAGCAGCATAACTCCCTAGGGCATGCTTAGGCTCAGCCTTTGTCCAAGTGGTTAAAAGAGAAGGAAGGGCCTTTGCAAGGAGACGTGGTCAGTGGGGGAAGAGGACTAGGGTTAGAGCTCAGCAGAGATCAGCTTCCTGCTGGCACAGAGACATTGTTCTCTCCACAGCACACAAAGTGGCTGCTCTTGTCCTTGCAGTCACTCTCCACGGAAACATCATGGAGGGGACTACCCTTTTCTAGTCTCACCTATTCAGTGTGCTAAGCAGGAAAGCTACCTTTCCAGGACAGGGCATCATCTGGCTCAGAAGGAGGGCCTGTGTTAACACTTGCATGTTTTCACAAAAGCAGTATTCATTGAAAAAAACACGTGTTGTCTCTGTCAAAGAACATGGAACTCCTGTGACGGTGTAAGGTCAGGGTAGCTGAGGTCCAGGTCCTCATGTGCCATTTGTTCCTCTGAATTTTTTCATCCCTGATTCTACCGGGTTGAGCAATTGATTGACTTATTTGATTCAGTATCCAGAGCAATTGATTGGCTCACTTGATTCAGTATCCAGGTGAACCTTTTGGAATGGCACACATTCTGCTACAAAATGTTGGGAGGCACAAGACACAGATTGGGCTCCCAAGCCCAATCCCAAACCCAGCAAATAAACTTCGTTAAGGAATCTGAGCATAAGAGAATAGACTCAAACTCACTTTACATGCATTTCAATCTAGTAATAGTGCTCACTGCTTTATTACTTTGGTTAAACATATACAAACTGAATAATCAGAAAACAGTTGCATGACACTTATATTCCAAACTACATTGCTCAAGGACTTCCTCAGAGACAAAATTTGTCTCTATAGCTAAAATATCACAGTCAGCAGAGAGGGAAAGACTTGAGATTCACAAAAGTGGTTAGGAATATAAATTATCACAATATTTCCACATACATTATCTTTCCTGCAATTCTCAGTTAAAAACGTTTCTAAAAGTAATAAATATTATTAAATAACAATTGTACAATAAAACTTCTTTTTACAGCAAAATAGTCACTTTTTACTTTTGTTGTTGCTGCCACACAATGCAAAGAAAAACATTTACCTCAAAAGAAGAAACCTAGCTTCTTTCAAGTTTTAACTCTGCAGGACTTTACTAAGAAGCAGTTATCACAGCAATCCAGACAGAAAGGACACAAATATATACTAATTATCATCTTCACATTCATCACTTAATAGAAAATGTCACTTAATTTTGAATTAATGTATGCCTGGGTGTGTTTGATGTCTTGTTCCTCATGGAAGAAAGAGGAGGACTGCTGGAAAAAGCTTCCATTTGACCTGGACTTTATTTGATCTTCATGATAGCTACATAAAGTGTAAATCTGTATCTTAATCTCAAAATCTGAGGCTACCTTTGTTTTCTGAGTCATCTGCACTGTCTCTTACACAGTAGGGTAGCAGAATGAGTCACCTAGTTCTAGCTTCTTCTTTTGGTTTCCATGACCTGTTGTGTTGTCAAACAAGGCTGAAACACTCTCTTTGTATGATGCTTTTCCTAGAAATGTGTAGCTCTGAAATCTTATCCCCATTACTGAGACCAAAAGAAAAAAAAAAAAAAAAGCTGCCCTGCATTTTCTCCCTGGAAGCCTTAGGAGATGTTTACTTTGGAGTGTGCAGAGGAACAGATCAGGGCTTGTGAACATAAATGTCTCAATAAGAGATGAGCAGTAGGCTTTGTATCCCCAGAGGTTCTGCTTTAACTCTATCAACCAATTAGCATGCTTATAATTTGGCAACAACTCTCTATTCTCATTAGTGGCTTAAATGCCTACTGGCTCATATTTCCAGGCTTCACATTTCTTATCCCTGAAGTTTTCTCTCCCAAGACAGCTTTTCTCTATCTAAGCCTCTAGTTAACTGCAGGCAAATTGTACGTCCATGTTATCTTTTCCACAGGCCTGCCCTCATTCCAGCTGCATCCAATGCAGATATCACCAAGGTGCACAGACACTGTGAGTGAGCAGAGTAAGTCCAGCTGATCACAGAGCATTAAGTGGAAATTCACACACTATTTTGACAGTTTTGAACACACATGGATGTGTGAAGAGTGCAAACCTCAGCTTGAGCAAAAAAGACCATGTAAGTTAAAGTGGTTTTTACAGTACACTAAGGTATGTCTGAATTTAGACTTTATGCAGACATATTTTGAAAGTGTCAGGCAGATAAAAAGGGAAGTATGTCTCTTACTTCAGCTTAGAATTCATTTATGCAAATATGGATTATGGTTTACTTAATATAAGTTCTTGGTTCTAGCATTTACTTTGGATAGACATTGGAAGCTAAGAACAAAGTTTTGAAAACAGGACTTGTAATATTTTTTCAGAGTATTCACAAGTTCCAAATATCCCTCTGATAACTGCAAATTTCCTAGAAGGTGCAAAACTTTGGTTATCAAATCTACTGACAAATGTCTAAATATGCATAAATTCTATTATTAATACATTATATCTGGTATCTGGTATTGATATGCCAGCAGCAGTCACACTACAGTATAATTTTTTTTTTTTAATTCTCCTCATCTTACTTCGAGGATGCCTGGGGACCATGGTGATAAGAAATGTGAGCATATTATTCCACAGTGTGGAAAAAGTATGACTATAGGCTATAGAAAACTTAGTGCTGGCAGGTGACATTTGCGAGACTGTTAAACATTTTGTTCCATTTACATATTTTGCACTGAAATCCTGGTCCCAGGACTATGTCCTTTGTTCAAGCTTTTATTGAATGTCTGGCAGACAGGTTTTGGCAGAACCAGTGTTACTTTCCATTGTGAACCCTGTAGGAAATTAAGTGGAGTAAACAACTGTATAACTGGGCAAAAAGGCAGGCATTAAGCCATGGAAATTGCATCTTCTCACATGGTGACCAGCCAGGTATGGTTAGTTTGAACATTCTCTTCTTGCATTAAGGAAAGGGGAGCTGCAACTTCTCACTCTGAGCAAACTCCCATTTGTCAGAAGGTAATTCTGTTTTCAAACCATATTTTCAGGTTTCATTTCTTCTGAAGCATCTGAAATAATGAAATTTTGGAAACGTGATGGTACCTAGATGTGCAGCCTGCCAGCAACATTGGGTGAATTTTATTAACTTAATAATTAGTCTAGTTCTGCAATAAAAAGTAATCAAAATCATCTGGTTCACATGTAATTGTTCTTTGTTTAAAGTCATTGAATGTGTTTTCATTGCCATTCATTCCTATAGTTGCAACACGACCAGATCAGATAGACTCAAAAGCAGTGTAGACAGTCTTGCAGGACATTTCGAGTTCCAGTTCTGACTTCTCAGCTATTTGTTGGAAAAACATCAAAAGGTACTATAATATCACCTAATCTCAGTGATTTCTATTGAGTCTAGAAATGTTTTTCATTCAGTAAAATCCCACTTCTTGAAGTCAGGTACTGAAGTACCACAAGCAAATGTCTAGTCCTTGAGATTGCATAAAAAATAATAAAATAGGTGAGGTACTCCAAACCAACGGTGAACATTAAAAGACTCATATTATTATGCTGTCAGTTGTCAGGTTTTCAGCTAATTTCACAACATTTAAACCTGTCTTATTACTTTTACTTCTCTTAAGTTGGTGGCAGTGTTGGCTCCTCACAGAAGTGAGCCCAGCCACTCTAGCAGGTTCAATTAGTTCTTGTTGAAATCAGTTTAAAACTGGTCTAATGACAACTGGTTTGGAGCTGCTGTCCAAACAGCTTTACAGCTGATTTGCCTTTTTCATAAAGGAGAAAGCCAAATCTACCAGAGCGACAGGGACAAAAACACAGCTGGATCAACAAATGGAGTACTGAGCGGCACACATGCTCTTCCTTTCTGAGCAGTTGTGAGTCTGTGTGGCTCCCAGCGATGTAGAAAAGCCTCTGTATGCTCACGTGTGGCCAGGCAGGATCTGCTGGCCCGTGGTGTGGGCAGGGCACTGTTGAGTGCAGTGGCACTATTGCCATCTCGGGCCACATTGCATCGATGTATGTAACCTTTGCATCACCAGTGGATATGCTGAGCTGGGCAAATTGGCTGTGCTGACAGAGCAGCTCAAAATAGCCACATTCCCCCGGAGGCACAGTTTGTGAAATATAGTCTGGGAAATTTAGTATTTCTGTCAAGAAGTTTCATTTTGTGTCTCCTTGGCATCAGCTTTAATTTCCAAAACATGCAGCTAAGTGGCTGCTAAGTTATTAAAGCTACAGCTAGGACAGTGGTAAAAAAATTAAGACATCTATTTTGATGTATGTTTAGTGACTTAAATTCATACACCTAAATCTTGTCACATTTTTCCAGGATATTTAGGAATCCAAAATAGACATAGGGAGCAGGTGGTCTTCTTGAAGACACCTAAGAGGGTTATGCAGCAGACTTTTACTGAAATGATATGCAATATTCAAAGACACCTTCTCTTATAGGTAGTGATATCACAGTGAAAACTTTCCAGAACATGGCTACAGAAAGGTTAGAGCATGGAATAAGAAGCATTAGATATGAAAAAAATAGTGGCAGCTAAGATAATCTAATGGAAAATGGTGAGACATGGGTAAGTAAAATAATTTTGTGAGACTCTCAAACAAAGTCATTTTGGTCAATACTACTTTGGCATATAAGATCTGTTCCTATTTCCCTGCCACTCCCAGCCTAGTAAAACAAAATTTCAGTAATTCCTTCAAACTCAGTACCATACTGATCTGGGTTGAATTCAGCATTTAGTTGCTCTCCTTATCTCTCAGCTCCCATTCAGACCTAGAAATATCAAATAATAACTATATTTAGTAAAATTAATCACAAGCATTTGGTTCACTAATATCTTTGGCTTCTGGATGTCCTAATTACAGAATCAAGTGTATTTTTACATAGGTGCATGATTAGTCTTAGGTGTCGCAATAATTTTCAGTTTTGAGATTACTCAAAATCAAACTTTCAAGTTGCAACTTCATATTTAAAAGCAGAAGCTACAAGAAAATTATTTCAGAATTTTAATATGATAGTCCTGCTGAATATATTCTAAGTGAATTCTTCAGTCAGTTTGATTACGGTTTGACAAATTTTTAAACTTAGCAAATTGTTAGAACCAAATGTAACTTTAAGTATACTGCAGGATAGGCAGGTACTTAACCTAGACTTACCCTGCTGAGTTTTTATGAATCAAGTCTGAAGATTTGATTTGAGAGACTGGTGCTAGAGAAGACTTGGATTGCTGAAGGCTAAATCTTGACTCTGGCACAAGCATTGCATTTACAGGAACTGTGTCTATTGAATTTGACTCATAATAAGATTCATTGAATGGGAAAATAACTTTATATAATGTTTAAATGTGGACAGTACAAACATCCCTTAAAGCATTTCCCAGTACCAAAAGTCAAGGGCATTGCTGCCAGAAATGTGTCTTTATTGTATGTGGTTTTTTTTAACTTGATATTTAGAGAAAAACAGTATATTTCCAATAGCTATCACTTGCTGAAGGCCAAAATGAAGTTATGCTTTGGCAAGTAAATGCAAGTGACATCATTTGCAAAACTGACCACTGAGTTCAGATAGTTTTCACTGCTTACAAGAAGAAAAGATTTTTCAGATATGTCTTTGAACAGTCATGTACATCTCATATTAAGCCTATTAAACAAAAGTTATTTGAACTTGTCTAATCAATATGCAACATCTCGTTTGAGACTGTTAGTTCAAGGACACCTAGATCTTCACCATAAGCAGAGAACTACTTATAAATAACCTTAGCACTGAAATTAAAAAATTGAAGTTACAGTATACTGTTACAATATCATTAGAAAAATCAAAACACACACCTCGTACACATAGAGATCACACCAAATCATTGCTAAAGTAAGATACAAATGTTTTGAATAGCATCATATAAGAATTCAAACTTGACGTCAGAAAGATAAAATCCTTTTGATATCAGTGACAGTGAATAATGCTTTTAAAAAACATTTTATGCTAAATTTCTGAGTTGGAATACTAGTTACTGAATTCAGATTCCTTCCATGGTTAACTAGCATAATCCATCTGTAATCCCCATAGTTGTGCTTCTTAGGTAAAATCAGAAATAAGATTTGTAATATTAAATTTCTCAAGAAATTGAGACTGCTGGATTCTATTTTTTTATCTGAACAATCACACTTGTTATTTTTCTTTTGGTAAAAACACATGGCACAGAAGATAGTTTTATACCGTCAACAGGCTGACTTGAAAAATATAAATATATATTGTATTTATATATATAATGTGTATATACACTATCAACATTCACATTAGAGAATCTGAGCAATTTTGTTGAAATTTCTTTTAAGAAAGGCTTCTGATGTGATTTCATGTCACATAAAGCATTGAAAATGTTGAAGTGGACCATATGAAATGGGGCTTCTTAAACTGAAATAAAACATACTTGTGAAATGTATGTGAATATGTGGGGGGGGTGGTTAATGTACATTTTCCTTTCAGATCTGCAATTTCTACCAGTTATAGTTTGCAAATTGCAATAACTAAAAGAGTTGTCTCAAATCAGTGTTTTCTTTCGGCAGGCTGTTGCAGGCAGAGTTCACTCACTGAAGAAACTATAGGCAAATTATTCTCAAGGTGATAGTTGATGAGATGACTTATGCTGTCAAAGACACGATCTTTTGTACGAACCTTCAAAAAAAAGATGCAAGAAGATAGATTAAAGAGTAAGGTACTTTTCCCCTTAGCTTAGCACTAAAATTATCTAAGAATAAAATCACAAAATAATATTTCAGAAACTGGTACCTCTTCCATCAAAATTGGTGGAAATTTTGTGCTTATCCAGTGTGGCTTCTGTTTCCTCTCTCACTCCCCCTATTTACACCAAATAGATATTTTGCATGCAATTTCATGGACCAACCTACTCTTATTACACTTTCTGAATAGGTCTGCTTGAAAAACGTCTGTTCATGACTTTGTTTCACTGTCAGATTTTTCTTCTTCAAAGGACCACCTACTTCTTTGAGATGTTTGTACCTTTTTGATTAGGAAGAGCTAACATGCCACATGTGTCAGAAAACATCTGCTTTGTACACCTCAGCATTTTTGTGCTTTTCTTCTTCCGCTACTCAAAAATTCCATACCTAGAAAGTGATCCACCATGTGTGCTTAGCTTGTGTTTGTCCTATGCTGCACAATACATCCCTGTGCCTTCGGAACTGAAACACTTCAGGGCAGGGAAAATCATTTTTCTAGACCACATGCCACCTCTCTGTAGCAGCATCCTGGTGGTATACAATATTCCACCCATAGGTGGTGGTTACGAGGAAACTGATATTGCAGGATAAAACAGTCAAAATTATCAGAACACAAAAACCAATCTACATTACAAGGCAATCTCTAGTTATTTAGCCACATGTTCACAAAACATTTCCTTCATATGTTTCAAATGAGTTAGGCATACAACTGCTACAGGCAGAGCACATATCCAAGCAAGCACTAAAACTTTGTATAGGGCTGGCTCTATACTGCCTCAAGCAAATGCCTGTGAGCACTGCTCTGAGTAAGAAATGTTGTTTATTTTCCTTGATCTTTTCTCAGGAAGAGAGAAAAACTTGTGTTAAAACTTTCAAAAATCATCTTATGCTGTGGGGGACACCTCTCCTAAAATAATTCAGTTTCAACATTAAGTTCTGTAAAAATTGCTAGAAGTTTAACACAATATGCCACAGGATTAAAAAAAAAAAAAAGAAAAGAAAAGAAACAACTTTGATGGCATATGATACTTTCTGGTCAGTCTACACATAGTTATATCACTGAAGGAAACGAAAAGGCTCTCCCAGTTTTTTAAGCATTCTGCTTTGAAATGTCACTGTCTCTAAAATTAAACTATATTTTCAAAATGAAAAGATATCTTTTAAAAAGCACTAACTTTACTTATCTGTATTCTGAGATGTTCTTACCTAAGTTAGACACTCTACCATCACAGAGGTCTAATTCTAAATGTAGAAAAATCCTGCAGTCCTCCATTTTAAGCATCTGTTTTCTGAATGAGGGATCTCTTTTAATTTCTTTTTTTTTTTTTTTTACTTTTTTGTTAGCTGGATGAGAGCAGAAGCAACTGGACTGTTAACTCTGCTCTGAGAACACACCCTTAAGACCTGTTACGTGTCACTGGGTACTGTGTGTGAAATTAATTTTCAGGCAAGTGTGAATCAGTCTTCAAGAACAATCCCACTGAGACCATGCAGATGAAATGCAAGCCACTGGCAAGCTGTGGCGGCTGGCCACAGACTGGCATGTTATTGATGATTCTCCACTTTGACAAGCTGCAAATAGGGCTGCTCAGAAGCTTTGTCAAGATCCCACAAATCGTACAGACAGAACAGTTTTCTGTAACTAACAACAGCTGCATAAAATCACTGTTCTGGAACAGTGCCTCCTGAGCCAGGTATCTCAGAGCCATTTGGGCCATGACGACACAATCAGGCTGAGGGAAGGATAGGTGCAGATAACAAGCAGGTCCTTAACCAAGGAGGTCAGCAAATTAGAGATGCACTAGAGGCAGAGCAGCAAAGATGGGGGAGCCCCTCCAACCTGTACAGGAAAAATATGCTCTGGAAGTCATCACAGGAACTGAGTATTCCATGCCAGTCAGCCCTGCAGCAGAGCTCCTGGTGAGACACAGCATTCATGCACTTGCCGGGTCACACAGCAGTGTTTGCCATGCAGTAGCCTGTGACAGTTATTTGTGGGTTCAGATAGAAAAGAGAATTAGGCTATCTTGTTGCAGGAGTCAACAAGGTAGCCTAATTTTGGCAAGTTTTAGCAAAGGAGCTGCCCCTCAAAAGGCGTAAAGCCACTCCCCTGGGCTGGTGTACCCATGAAACCCAGGACTAGGCAGCTGGCGCCTCAAAAGTGCAAAATCATTCTTTGACTGGCCTCATGTGGCAACGTAACTAATTGCAACAAGTACCATGGACGCTCCTCACTACTGCAATACGGACTCTGAAGGACTGATGTAATTCTGTCACAGCTTTCTCAGATCAGATGCCAACAGGCCAACCCCTTTATGGGAGTTTCTCACTTACCTTGGGGCTGGTTATCTAAAACTGTCCTTTATAGAGGAAAAGGAGTTTCCTACTTGCAGCTACCAGGAGCTAAGAGTAAAACTCATTACAATGATTTCAATCTCTCTGAAAGAGTTTACGCCTCCACAGAAGCAGGACAGGACAGCTACAGAAAACTAGAGCTCCCTTGCACCCTCCATCCTGCTGTGGGGATGGTCCCTTCATCAGCTGAGAGTCTTTTTGCAGCAAAGAAATGGAACAGGCTTACCCCAATTCTCTCCTGGGCATACATGCAGGAAAACACAGAGGGCCTGGTCCATATCCCAGGTATGTCAATATCCCAGGTATCCATATCCCAGAGATGCCAAGCAGGCTAGCCAAACCTCCTTCCTTTAGCAAGAAAGCTGAAGTGGCTTAGCTGCACTTTTGACCAAGACTGCACAGCAGTGGTCCAAGTGTGAACTTGCTTGGGAATCAGGTCCCTAAGGTCCCTCCAATGTGCAGAAATCATGTGCTAGGCATCAGGGAGAGAATTAGAGATGTGATGGCACATCAGAGATATGAGGTGGTGATTATGGTAAGGTGTGAACAAGCTGTAAAGAAGATTAAAGGCATTTACAGAAAATGAGTAGAGTCAGAAACCTCATCTATTAGTGAGGAGTCAGTGCTTACAGTTCCTTCTGGGTCCACCAAAAGAAGATGCTTGGCTTGTCCTTTGTGCATGCCTGTCAGCACATAGGAGCCAGGATTCGTGGTACTCTTCCTCACAAGGAAATCTCCACATTTCTTTAATAGCTGTTCTGCTTCTTTCCTGCTCATCTCTCCTTGATACCATGGCTCTGCACTCAGCTCTTCAGCTTCAGTCCGGACAGCTACTCTGGATAAAGGAGGACTGGTGGAGGTGGATTTCTTCAACATAACCTCAGATGTTTGATTCTTGAGAGCATCTTCAAATGGTTCTTGTTATGGAAATAGAAACAAGAGCAGGATCACTCAGAGGTAAAAGTAGCCAAATGGTGATTTTCTGATCATTTTAAACTGGATTTGTTTTGCATTACAACCACTTCTCTTTATCTTTATGAAAAAATAAGGGAAGATACACTATTAGACTCACTGATTTAAATAATATATTAAGACTGAGGAGTGAAATGTTTTTTAAATGTATGTTATGCACAGAATTATACTGATAAAAATCAGGCTGAACCTTGGCAGGATCTCTTCAAAGGTACTGGTTTATTTCAGTAGTGGCTATTGTCAACAGCTGTATTTCTATGATCTGGTACCAGGCAAATCTTTCCTTCAGTCTTTCTAGGTATGTCAGACAGTTTAATTTCAAATAAATTACATAATAGGGGTACCTAATGTCATTATACTCATATCTGGTCTCTGTTCAAACAACTTATTCATTTAAAAATTATCCATTACTGAGTCTCCAGCCCAAGGCTATGTCTAGTAGGGAACATTTACCCTCACCACTCAGCCTACTCCTACCTCCATCTAGGAAGAGAACTTCACAAAACAGACACAGGTCAACACATTTAACATCATTTGCCTAGTTAAAACCAGCCTTGGGGAAGCATATTTTAAACCTCAGTTATGTTCTGAACTCAGTGCAACTGTAGAGTTGAGTAGAAAGAAGCGTCATTATGGATCCCAACAGTATTACAAAAATAGCAAAGAGGGTGCACAGGGTGCTTTGTTACATGTTGTACTGACCTCTTGGAAGCTATTTGCTCTTGCAAGACCTTCATCTGGCCCACCAATACATATCAAAAAGAAATGTTCTGTGCCCCTAGGCTTACAAAAGGACATCTGGAGAGCAGCACAGTGAAGTGATACACCAGCTCTAAACAGATTGTTCAGAAGCAAGAAGTACAAAGTCCTGTTTGCATGAGGCCACAGAGAGGCTAGTTTAGACCAAAGAAATAGGAAAAATATTGTGCTGTCACCATTTATTGATATCTCAGCCAGCTATTAAAAGCAGCTTATAAATGTCTTCCCTATACCGCAGTCTGCATAAAGTCCAACATATGTTTATCTCAACAAGCCATTATCTTAGGGCTAATTGGCACATTTTCTAATACTACTGTTCTCTGATGTTCCAATGGCTGATAACAGTTAACATCCCTGATTTCAAATAGCAGATTTTTCTCCTTTCAGACCTATATTCAGAGATAGAGATACTTTCTCAACTTTCTTCCCTCCTCCTTCCTTTCAATTGAACATCTCACTAAGTTGTGGAAATAGAGCCATATCTCAGCAAAAACCTGCCAGGAAAATGTTTTTTTCTATACTAAGAACCGAAGTGTAGATACTTTATTTTACAAATAATTTTAAGGCACCAACTGCTTTTGTCTCACTACCTTTTAATTATGTGAACTGAATTAAATAAAGCATGGAGAAGCAATTTATTTGAGGCAGGAAGAGAAAAAGGTAGAAAACCCAAGAAAATTTTCTGTGCATCAAATGCTTTCACTATTTCTTCACTTTATATACCTATCTTCTCAAGTCTGAAAACAATGTGTATTAGTAGCACCAATACCAAACTATGGCTGATGTTTAACTGTGGTTTTGCAGCTGTAGTGATGATTCTGATCTAGGAAAAGCTGCCTTTGAAGCTGGAACAGATAGGACAGTAGGCCTATCCAGAGTAAGAAATAAGTCAGTACTTTAACTTTCATGCTAGATTTCTTGCAGCACAAAGCTTTTCATATATGCATTGACTTCCTCATAACATACTCACAGGACAGGCTGAAGACAGTTCTCCACCTATCCATACCTTCACCCTCCTTTACTTTCCTGTATGGAAAGCTTCCTGATTAATTTTTCTTCTGACATAATTGTCCGTGATGTTAAGGATAACATGGACTGCAACTAACCTTAACTCAGATATTATACAGACTAGGTTCAAGTCTTCAACCACTCTTATTTTATTTCAGTCCAATACGAAACCACAATGGATATTAAAATTCACCATAATTACACCAGGAACACTAAATTTCAAAAACTGAATTTTCTTTTTTTTTTTTTTAATACAGAACTAATTCATAAACATATTTGGTCACTTATTAGAAAGGAAGTGAATAGGAAGGGAACTCACTCATGTCAAACAGATCCTTTCCTGGGCTGTTTGCTTCAGCATCCTCTACTGTTCCACTGAAGGTACTTTCAGCATCTGCCTGAAGTGCCACTAGATCTTCTCTATTTATATGCTGGGTGTTTACATATATTGGCAGCTCTCCTGTTGGTGCTACTTCTGATTTCTCTTCTGACATACTACAAATATCCAGAGATCCTAGAAAAATCAAGACTTTTTTTTGTGTAATTGACAGAACAGTGTTGACCAATTATCATCACACCACATCACCACAGGTCCTGCATTGGGAGATATAAGTCAATAATTGTTGGATCTAGTAGAAAAAGTGTTAATTAATGGATTCAGAACTGTGTTTCAATGTGGGTATGGTCGGGCTCTTTCCCAGGAGGAAAGGAAATCTTTGTAAATAAAGATTGTAAATTTCAAAAATTATTTCTGTTGGAGAGACATGAGAGGAGGAGAAGGTATAAAATCCTCAAATGTGTACAGATTAACAATAGGGAATATATGCTGGTCTTTGAACAAAAGTGTCCCCAGAAACACAGTAAAGTTATCACATAAAGCTGGATAGGGTGAAACTTTTATATGTGTTTTGAAATTACTTGAAATTCAAAGACAACAAAAGGAACATTATGCACTATTTGCTATTTGTTGAGTAGAGAACATTGCTTCACATTTTGAATTAAACTTTTCACTTTAGGTTTTTCATTTAAAAATTCTGTTTTGCATACCCTAGTGGGTCACATTTTCAGAACAGATCAAGCAGCAGACCCTTAAATATCATAGGGTTTTACGATATAGAAAGTTAGAAAACTGAAAATCTGGGTAATTCTATTTATGAACTGCTCTGCAGAAAAAAATACTTCATGAAGGTGTGCATTTAATAATTTATCCAGAGGTAATTATCAAGTGTTTTTCACTGGTATCAACACTGAAACTCAGACAAAGGGAACCTACCAGCCAAGTTCCGTTCATTGCCTTAAGGCTTCGAGGCACCAGAGTTTCATGTGCTTTGTCCTTCAAGACCACCTGCAGTATTTCAGCTAAAAGTAGCAAAACTCACCTTGTTTAACAGGTCCTTGATGCCATTCTTCACTGAATTTTTCTCCTAAGTTATGGCTCTGATAATAAATTTGCTCTCCTCCAATTCTTGATGCAGACTAGAATGGACACATGTGCAAGGAATTTTTAAATTGACTTTAAAATGCTCAGACACATCACAAGTGGCTCTGCCAATTTCCTTGGACATGTTTTGTGTACCCTGACTCTTCCTTTCCCATTCATCATAATTTCAGAATACATTTTCTTAAGAGTAAGAGATTACCAATATCTTACCAGTCACCTTCAGGGGTTCTTCCCTCATTTCTGCTTTTAGTGACACCCTATGATATCAAATGATGCATCATTTCGTTAGTTTCTACCATGTAGTGAGTCTTGTCAACCTATTACTGGGAAAAGTGTTCCACAGAAACACAGGTGGGACCAGAAGACAGCCCCAGCACTCTTCACACCATAAGCTGAAAGATTCACACTGGTACCAGGGAAAGTACTTGGGCACCGAGGGGAGGATGTTGGCTACAAACAGGACCCCTCTGGATTTAAGCAAATTTGTGCTGGATCTGAAAACACCTCTTAGGGGCTACATTGATACTGCAGCCAAACTTTCGACAGGAGTGCTGATAGAAATATTCAAGCTGACCGTAGTTCAACATGAGGTGCAAAACCTACCTAAGAACCTGCCTGAATATTGATCACTCCCAAGTCATTAACATAATGAACTGTTAGTAATGGCTGCACTAGATTGTTTAAATGATTCTGCATTAAATCATTCCCAGTTAATGTGCACTATTTGATACTCTCTGAAGTAGACATGGTTTTTGCAAATGTAGTAGCCCCCAGTGGATTTCTGTTCCTTGAACCTCGTTAATCTTTTAATACCACGAGGATTTCACCTCCTTTAATTTGTTCTGATCCTGCCTAATGTGTTGCCCCCTCAGTCTGCAATGGCTATTCAGATGGAAACTGGCCACACAGGAAAGGCTGTGAATTCATTCAGTCCCAAGGTATCCACCATAAAACACATCTTTTAAAAATTTTGGATCAATCAGCAGGAGAGTAGAAATGAAATTATGCTGACCTGAGCTGTGTCTGCAGCAGTGAGAAGCCTTGTTTTGAGCCTGGCATCAAGGAATCCGCCAGGGGGAGGTATTTTATTTGGGATATTGTTGTAATAGGGATGCTCTGTTGCCTCGTTCTCTTCCTCTGTCCATGGGTCCTCAAAACTCTGCATCCTAAAAGGAAGAGAGTGCTTTCTTTTGCCTCTCGCTTAAAGACATTTTTTAAGCACTTACAGACACTTTCAGCAGGTTAAGACTGCCTGTCAGGGGATCACTACAGCATATTGTATGGACACTTCAGCTACTACTGTAAATCAGGAAGCAATGATGGATTATGTGTCAAGTCTTCTCTGTTTAGTCAAACTGACATAAACTTCCTTTGCAGTGAACCAAATTCTTTATGCTGAGAAGAGTATGTTTGAACTCGGCTTTAAAGACCATTATAAACTGCATTAACAAACAACTTTTTCTAACCTTAAAATAGGACTTGTAATATTATGACTTGATTGACTGACTAGGCTCTAAATCTTTGGCTTTAGTTATGACTGCTCTATCACCAATGTAATTCTGTAAGGACCTCACAAAGTCAAGAGATGTGAATATAGCATGCTTCCAGATTAGGATAGTAGCATTGTCTCTATATAGTCTATATTGTCTCTATAGAAGAAATTACAGAGGGTAAAAGTTCATTAGGGTTTCTAGTAGTGTTAGTAAGCACATAGCAATCCATGTCTCTAAAGAAAACAGAATGCTATATCCCAGCCTTTTGAACATATACAAGGAGAGTTTGTATCCTCCAGATATCAGTGCAGTCAAACCTCCCTGCAATACATCACATTACTAGAAACATCACTCTAATATGAGAAATACTGAAACACTATTAGTCATTTGGAATCCCAGCAGTCTGACCTACTCCATCTAAACTGACACAGCTGCTGTGACAGTAATGAGGAAATGCCACAAATAACAACCATTCTTGGCCATCCATCTCTGCCTACTAACTAGAGCAAAAAACACATGATCATTTTAACATCATTGTGAAATCCATATTTAGTCTATCTTAAACTGACTGTACTTCTTTCATGTTCATTAGGCAAACACTGTTTTGCTAATACAGCAGAAATATTTTTAAGTATTCAAGTTCTGTCTGTGCCCAGCAACATTGTCCACATTTTATCTAGTAAATTAAAAGCTAAAGCAGGTCCTTTAGCTGTCTTCTGCAATTGCACTCACCTATCAGATAAAGTAGGTGTCTTAGAGGGGCATTGCAAGTACTGCTTAAATCGAAGCTCGAATGCTTGCCCTATGGTGCTGATGACATCCTGGGCCAGGCCATCACAGCATTCCAGTATATGACAAGCTAAATGAAAAAGATTGACACATGCAAATCACTGTTTATGTCATGGTGGGATGCAATGACCTATGACAAAATACCTACATGTCAAGCTTAGTGATGCGCAGATTTCAATAAAAGCCAATTCTGATACTGTGAATTTCAGGTAATCACAACTTTTTAAAGGTTACATAAAATTGGACTAATGTGTAACTGCAATAGACAAGATCACAAATCTGTTCCACTATTTTAACAAGTCCACAAACAGAAAAAACCTTATAAAATTTCACTTGCTATCTATGCAATAGATTATGTAAGAATTCTAAGCTTTAAATTTAAATTACACAAATATTAATAGATGGTAATTACAATAAAAGCTTTTTATTTTCCTCAGTTTAATTACCTCACTTTTATGTCTAATCACCCCAAGTTCACAAGCTGCTCTCTTTTCCCAAATTGCAGTCTGAGGGAGGAGCAGTGTCCACAAATACTTCCTAGATAATGAGCCCTGATCTTATTCCAGGAATACAGAGGTTGGTACCTTTTTCTGCTTGTTTGCATGGAGACACTCCTGGCAAACTGCAGGGCTGCTGAGGAATACAGACCCAGCAATCTGATTAGCTCCAGCACTTCCCCATGTGCAACTTCTCTGAACCCACTGAGGCAGTAAAGGGGAAGGATAGCAACATAAGCTCTCTTCCAGTAAAGACTGAGAAGCCTTTATCAGCTGTTTGAGCAGACATATCTGTCCTGGTTTTAAATCAGAGAATGGCTTGGAAATCTCAACATATGTGAAAACATAAAGAGGTGAACTTATGAAATTCCTGCAACTCAACATTGTAGGAACATAGATGGGTGCTAAGAGGTGGAAGCTAAAGACCTCAATAAACAACATCTCAGTGATGTCCAGAGAAGCCCAGGTGAGTTGATTTTTCATACTCAGAGTTGGACAAGATATTTTCTGCTGGCTGTAGCCTGGACTGGATTTCAAACTGGCTCTTTTCCAAGTCCTGACACAGGAAAGTGGGTGCTTGTTCAAAGCTACTGATTTGTTCCCCCCTGACTGCTTTAATAACCTGAATATGTACTCCTCAGGGTGCTTGTTCAAAGCTACTGATTTGTTCCCCCCGACTGCTTTAATAACCTGCATATATACTCCTCAACTGAAAAAACTGCATTTTAGTGCATGCCCAGTGTCCAACTGGAACCAAGTGCATTGGATACCGGTGTCCTACAAATAAGGGTTGATTGTGACATTTAACTGAAGTAATACAGGGAGATGAAGTAGATTTACATATGACTTTTGTAGAGGCTGAAATATTGGATAGACTTCTGTAGAGACCAGAAAAAGGGCCAAGAAACCTGCAGCTGCTAGTCAGGAATGTAACTGAATTTTCCTTAAGCAGCAGCAGCAGAGCAGCAGCAGCAGCACCTCATTCAGCATGAGATGGCACCAGTCACAGTGCCAAGCAGATACAGTGGTGTTCACTTCTCACCTTACAGCATCTCCTGTGCCAACCAGCAAGCAGAAATGCCTTGTCCAGGGAAAATGCCCCTAGCTATGAAAGTGGATTCAGCAGACAAAAGCAGGACCTCCATGTGTCCAAAGACAGAGGCAGACATCCCTGACTAGCAGTGAGGCATTTGGCTTTTTATGCCCTCTGCAACACTGCTATTGGCCTTGAACAATCAGCCCCCGTGGAAGGTGCACATTTATCTCTGAAAACGTGGACCAAAAGTAGTTAGGCCAAACAAAGCTAAAATGTTTGCACTCCATAACTAGAGTGCGAATTTAAGGAGGTGATATCGCTCACTGCTAAACCTTTCTGGAGCTGAAATGAAGCATGAGTCATTAAGTAGTTTCAGTAGGTGACATAATGAGTAACCTGTTTCCTTGGATACGTGAATGGACTTTCAGCAGGTAGGAGATACGCTTCTTGTAAAAGGATGAGAAGGTTTGGCTCACACAGAGATGATTTCTTGTGAATGTTACAGCAGAAAATAGACAGCCTTGAACTTGCTAGATCCAGAATGCAAAGCACGAAGACAGCTATTCCATCCTTGTGAAGAAATGAGTCTAACATGCAAGCCATACTACAGCATTACTGGTAGGGTAGCATCAGTAACAGCAGCAGTAACATTTTCACTCGATACAGATGTAAAGACAAATCCCCTTTTAAAGTAATTTGCAGACAGCACAAAGAATGACAGAACAGCAAATGATGGTACAAGAGGGCAATTCAGGTCCCTTGGTAAATTAGACCCTTTTAAAGAATGTGTTTTAGTACAGGTGACATACAAAGTCACTGATCTGCAAAACACTGATGTACACAGATGAGTGGGGAAAGCACCCATAGGAAAGCCATAATGCTGAAGGCTTGAAGATCACAGCATGAAAGAATTTCACATGAGGTAACAGTGATTCACTGCAGCAAAAAGGGCTTAGAAGGAACCAGATGAAGAAGAGGAGAAAAGGAAGAAAAAAGAGGAAGGTGCATTCTCTGCTATAGTGACAGCCCCTGTTATGCAGATACCATATACCTTTTTAAAAGAGCTGCAGGAAAATAAAGGAAGGAGGTACAGAAATTATCTGAAGGGTGGAGGATGTGCACTGCATCTGCAATGTTACAATCAGTCAATCTTTTTATAAAGAAAACTAAGAAATTACTTGACTTGAATACACCAAAGGAAGACAACAATATCAGGTGCTCAGATGACTTCTCAGTCTAGGATAGCCTAGCTCAACAAGGAACAGTCACAGGAAGCTAAGGATGTAAGACAGAAGGAACATAATACAGGAAGAACATAGTGCAGAAGGAACATGACAGAAGACAGAGCACAGGGCTCCTCCAAACCCTGCAGAGCAAATATCTTGTCTACAGTGCTAGTCCCTACACTGACTGAGATCTCTCAGAACAGCAAAATCAGTCTTGGATTTAGCAGAAGGCTACTGCTAAAGCAGGTGGGCTGGAGAGCAGCTCTGCACCACGCATTCCATAGTCTGACATTGGAGCCTCTCCAACAGGATACTGCAATGGAACAAGCATTGCAAAGAACTGGACTATTCCCTACCTCCCATTCCCTTTAAGTTTTCTAGACATTTAACTTACATTCAGCAAACCAGTATACTCAGTGCAGGTATTATTTATGAGCTAATACCTTCAAGTCTGAACATCTCTGCACATGGACACAGCAGATTCTTCAGGTATCATTAAAGATGACTACATACGGAAGCTACTCTGGGTCAGTTGTGCTGATGGTAAGGCGGGCAGCTGAGGGTTTGGCAGGATTGGCATTTTGGAGATAAAGTGTCTGAATTTTCCAGAAATCCTGTTGGAAGTACTTAATGCCTTTTTTTTTGTGTGTGTGTGATAGTCTGATCTTCTCTCTTTATGATCTATGAATAGTAAATAGATTCTCAGGTACATTGCAAAATACTTTGTATGTTGCATTAAGACCTAGTGAACACAATCAACAAGCAGATCCCTATCCCTGACTGATTGCTACGAAAGCAATACAACCTTGAATAAACCTTTACTGAGAAAGAGAATTACAGCAAGCTGGCTGTAAAGCTAGTTATTTGATAAAAAAATCTGATTCTGCCAGAAAGACTTAGGCTTGTACTGGGAAGACCTTACAGATACAGCTGCCTCATCAGAGGACTTAATCAGACTTCTTAGCTCTCACACAGTGATTGGGTGTAGGTGAGTCTTGGCTGTTGCCTAGAAGCTTACACAGTCAAGTAAGGCAAGTGTTTGATTTAAGAGATGAAGAAAATCAAAGTGATATTGGGGTATGAACTAGCGGCAAGACCTATTTATTCCAAGCTTGAAAAACAAACTGCTGCTTCTTATCGCAATGTAATCTTTTCATGGCTCTGTCAAAAGCCATTCTTTGATTGGGCTACATTCTACATCCATGTTTTTCAGGGGGGAGGGAGGGGGCATTACCTGACCTAAACCATTAATAATTAGTGTTTCTCAAAGAAAAAACAGACATCAAATAGATATTTATAACTTACCTCTACGATTAACAGGATCCTTAGCTACATATGCAATATAGTCTGAAGTATCCTGTCAAAAAATTAAGACACCTACAATGAATGCAAAAACATATTTGCACAGATTACAGCAAAAGATCACAATCCAGAGTATGTACAGTCCTTTGGGCAGAGCCCCAAATGACATATTTTGCACTACAGATGCATACTACTTAAACTTCCATATAAAAGTTTATGAGTTTTCATTTCCTTTTACCACTTTCGTTTTTACAGAATGTGATCTAATCCAGCAGAATTTTAAAATCTCTTCTATCAATCAAACAAACTCAGCAGGATTTGGCCCAGGCCTCATTTAGGAGGGAATAGAATTACAAGTCCTTATCTTCAAACTACCCAGAGATTTTGGTTCATAACATGAATAATCATCTGGTTCTGTGGCAGAAAGAGTGGGAGTAACAGCGCTGCTCCTCAGAACTACTGAGCAATGGCATTTATTCATGTGTGACAAGCAGGTGTTTACTGACTACAGTGCCATATGGCACAGAGGTGTTCAGCCACTGCTTGGCTCTGAGAAGCAGTATCCCAGTATCCCTGCACGCCCTCCCCCTGCCCTTAGGCTGCTCCCTGACACACCTGTTGCCACATGACTGGTGGATTTTCTGGCAAAAACACACAGACATCTTCTTGTGGGATTTTTTTCTTCCTCTCCTGACACTCCTATGCTCCTGTGCACAAATGGTGCAGACTTCTATTATTATGCAGATGAAACAGAAAGGCCTGGGTTTCTGGGAAACACTTAGGCCTGTTGATAAATCTGAAAAATGCCATATTGCCTTGATGCAATCAGGAAGTCCTGGTTAGATCTGGTATTTCCTGACATGCCTGGCTGGTCAGGTAGGCTAAACCCAAGGGATATACAGGATACGTTACAGCTGGCTGTGTAAATCTACACAAAGCCTTTTCAGGTGACTGATCCAAGATAATTGCCAATTATGCCAAGATCTAATGTCATAATAAACATCAATCTTCAGTAAAAAGATAGACTTCTTCAGCACAGCTTTTTCTAGTGCAAGCATATACCACCACCAGCCATGCAAAACAAATCACTGTACTGAATGTCTACACAATTTCCTTCCTAAGGAGAGAGCAAGGGAAATGATGAAGCACAATCATGGGCTCTGGTGACAGATGTGTAACCATCTCAGTTAATGCATCATTGGAAGGCATTCAGACACGGCAGCAGTGAGGTTGGTCTCTTAAAAAAGCATAGCCCTACCATTTCGTCTCGTAATTTCTTACATCCTGTGGCACAGCATCCGGGCAGCGACTACAGTGGAAATAAGGATGCATATCAACAAGTAAGGAGAAAACAAAGGTGACTATGTCTATAGTACCAAATAATACAGGGCCCTTGTCTCACTGCACTAGCTTCTCAAAGCATGCCCTGAAACTTTCTGAGGGACCAGCACATGCTTGGCATCAATCCCAAGAGACCACTGCAAGGGAAGAGAGTGAATGTGTGGGTGCAAATTGCACTGTGTTATTTATTTCAGGGCCAGAAAGACTAGAAAATGGGCCACAGATCAATTTATTTACTACTTCAGGCATAGCTAATGGATACATTTATGCCTGAGTAAATCATAGATCTATCTCATAGCTAGCGTGGGTGTGACAGTCTGAAATCACCTACTCCTTATTTCATTTAAAGCTCTGAGATTCAAGCTGACTATGACAAACCATTAAGGACCTAAGGTGGGGACATTTCAGCGTGGCTAAGTTAGAAGACCCTCATCCAAAAAACTATACAGGACTTGTCTGATGCAGCAAAGCGATCCTTGACATTCAAGAACTGAAAACAAGTATGAATGAGCTGTAATTTTCAGCCTAAAGAGATTGCATTGTAGTGTTCAAATGTGGAGGTATTGCTGACACTGAAAAACTACTGCCTTCAGGGACCTCTGAGAGACCTGCCTTATTAGACTTTATGACATCCTCCACTCCAAAATTTCAGCAGATATCTCCAAAAAACAGATGTCTTCTCTGACAGCCTGGAAACAGCCACCTGAAATTACTGTGGAGCAAAATTGTTTAGAGTATCATAGGAGGGGCTGAAGAGAACTAAAGGAGATTGAGAACCCAGCCTTGGAAGTGAAATAAAAATGGTTCTGAAATGGCACGTAAAAGGATTTGGTACAGAGATTTTTAAGCTCCCATATTCTGACACAGCCAGAATATGCAATGGGGAATACTGTAAAAGTATGTATTCAAGCCTTTCTCAAGAACTGTGGAACACTTCTCCAGGGGTTATATTTTGAATAATATAATTAATGGTAAGGGAGTGGGAGGAAGGTTGTAAAGGCAACTGCTATGACAAATGAGAGACAGATATCCTGAGCAGAAAGGCTGACAGGGTAGAGAAGTGAGAGTTGTCTCACCTCCTAGTAAACCAAACTCCAAAATAACTTCAAAATAAGGGAACCACTTCCTGAGGAAACATGGGCACATATCTAGCTTCCTAGGTCACTATGGCCTTTCTCCAACCTGTTTAAAAGTCAAATAAGGAGATGCATCTATGGTCTGGAGGCCAGCTGTTGTTGGGAGATGCAGTTTGGTGGTGGCAGTCCAATACCAAGTAGAAATCATTAAGGACTGATGAAAGTTTTGTTTAGATACCACTCTGATGATTAAATAAAGCTGTGAGCAAAATCACATTCTTCCATTTTGTCATCTTCAACATGCACCCAGGACAAAGGGAATAGCTGCTTTTTGCACAAGTTTTTGAGTTAAAGCTGTTCCTTACTAGACCAGAGATAAGCTTGTAGAAAAACATTAGATATTCATACCTACTTTCTTCCTCCCAACACCAGAATGAATTCATGCAGTCGTGTCATTGGGAACACAAATTCATAATTTCACTGTACCTTGTAGGCTCCCTTGCACCATGCAATTTTATTTCTCTGGTAGCTCACTGACTCAGTAGTGAGATTTTTATCTCTTTAAAACATTTGGAAGAGCTTGTTTACTCCAAATCCAGAACTCTACTGCTGTTCCTCTCCTCTTTCCTGGTAAATCATTTCATCAGTGGGCAGTGTGAAATGGTGTTTCCAGGACCTAGCGTTTGGGATGGCAGATGGGTAGCAAAGAATCTTCTTACGGAGGCAGGGAACTGTGCTAATCACTCCTCTGCCCACTTCAGGAATTGTTCATTTACAGCATCCATTGCAATCTGTTGTGTTTCCAAGCTGCTGTTGATCCATTTTTTGTTCCCCAAATTATTGTGATATTGTGTCCTTTTCCCTTCTGCAATTGTACTGAGCTCAGTGAAGCTATACTAAGATAGAATTTATCTTTATGTTTTCTGACAGACCATAATGAACAGAGAAAGCACCAAGCATCTTCACCTTAACAGAGCTGAACTGAGAGAATTAACTCGCAAAGCAGGCTAGAAATTGCCTTACTTGTAGTACATAACTGATATATGATAGATAATCACGTGATGGAGAAAAAGGTACTCATTCAATTAATTTAAGCTTAAAAGCTTTCAAACCTCTTAGGTAAGAGGTGAGCACGGTCACTAATTTATATTTTTCCCATTGCTTCCCGAATGACAAATACTTTTGAAGCCCATTTATTAATATACCTTTGGATGAACAGGTTATAAAATAAGGAAAAGCACAATAAGCAGGAATCTGCCCTTTGATCTAAACAAATAAAATTTGTAGGTACATCTAAAAGCTTTGCAAAACAGGAAAGATAGATCTGTGCTTTTCCTGAAAGCCTGTCTTCAAGCCTGCATGACTGTAGCAAATATACCTGCAGGCAGAATTTAGCACAATCTTCTCAATTCATACTTACAGTTGAGAAGAAAAAAAAAAAAGAAAAGCATGCATTACTATAAATACTATAAATATAGCTGCAACATATTCTATTATTGTAAAAAGTGCAAGACAAATAACCGGATAAAAATCCACACAATGCCCATATAACTATTCTACATTACTCTGAAAAACAAGGCCCTGCTTATCAGTTGCTATATGAATGCTTACAGCCCCTTGATACTTTTTGTTACAGTCGTTCAAAGGGGAGGATCCATGAATGCTTGTCAGCCATTCTGCTCAAAGAGAGCTTAATGGCAACAATCAAGAAAAAATTATGAAAGAAGAAACAGGAGCTGTTGTGATTTTTTTCTTTTAGTAAGATATGCTTTACATTTTGTCATGCGGCCCTTGTAAAGCAGTTTCTATGTGGGAGAAGGCTTTACAGAAACGCTTACCGGATCACCTCCAGACGCAAAGGAGATAGATTGCATATGGTGATTTGCTATGATCTGTATGGATCAGAAAGAACAAGTGTGAGTCAGATGCGTTTCTTACAGTTTGCAATTCTGATTTCTGTTTTTTTGCTTGTATGCTGGTGAAAATCCAAAATCAAGCTCAAATATAAGGACTTCAAAGAATAGCATGATAGCATAAACAAACTTAAGGATAAATGTTTCTATTCTGGTGTTCTTTAAAATGTATCAGGATACTGCAAGATTGCTAAATGTACTCAGAAGTCTACTAAATCATACAGACCTGTCAGAGAGTGTCTTTGGAGAAATTTTAATCTGCTAAAACTCACTGTCTTTATTACAGATAATGATGAATGAAACAAAAGGTCCTATTCATCAAACCATTTTTCTGCTGATGCCACTCTGGTGAAATCAATGAAACCATGCCAACCTCTACACCAGCTAAGATTCCTAACATTGCATCCAACACCTACTGTGTCATTTTATGTTTCAAACATCAACATGTTTACAATATGCAAATAGAATTTTGAATCTAGCTGCAGCGTAGCATTGTGGACAAATTCACAGGCACACTCCAGGCCATTTGAAATTCAAATTGCTTATGTACAATTTGAACTAATATGTTATTTCTCTGGGAAAAGACAATTTGTCCTGAACCTCTAATAAAAGCAGAACATCTCTGCTATTCTGAGAATCAACTTACAAAATCTTTTAATAATGAAATCATGTAACAACCAAGAAAGAAAAGGTCATTTGAAAGAAATTTTCACTTGAAATTTGAGTCACAGAAGCCATGCCAAGGCTTCCCATCTGGGATGGGACAGGCCACTGTTAAGTGTCTCAGAGCATTTCACAATAAGATTTAGGATCTTGATTCTTCACTTAGGAGAGGGAACCACAAAGTGGTTCCAAAAAACCATTCTGGAAAAAAACAAAATAGGCTAGGAAAATATTCTCTCTGCTGTTTCCCCTAACCTGCTTCTTAAAGACCTGAACTATCAACCACCTTCCTTGGAAATAAAAAAATCTGACAGAACATTCTCTGGATCTTGCTGCTTCACTAAGTCAGAGAGAGGTGACGACTATTGATAGTGTTTCTTTTATGGAAAGAGCACTTCATTTTCAATAGCTCTGCTTTTGCCGCCACAGCCTCCAATATGTGGTTAGTTTTTAAGTGTACACTTGTAAATTAGTGTTCTGCTACTCAGCAGAGAGGATTTCCTTCTCTTTTTCCCCTTAAAGATGTAACAATAGAATATATTGTACATATAATACATATAGAATGTAGATTATCTTAACAATAGAACTGGTGTAGTGAAGTTCTGTCACGCAATTTCTTATTATTACTATCTTGACCTGTGCAAATAACTTAATCTTTTATTTCAGCATGTAAAAGAAAAATTATTTCAGATTGTCACTAAACTAATTTTCCCAAATTTTAAAGAAGCTGAAAAGTGCTTGAAACCATTAGTTCAAGTCAGGCGTTTTGTTTAATTCCACAGCTAATTTAGTAGGAGTGCTCCCCACCTCACCTCTACCAATATCAAAATACTGAAAAGAAATACAGCAAAGTATCAATGCCTTGCATTGCTTAAAATGAAACAGTTCACTAATGTCGGCATACAGTTCAGAAACATTTTAATCTATGCCAACCTTCGTTTTAAAGAAATAAGCAAAACAAAGTCATGTTCCATTCATCCCTGGTTAATATGTTCACAGAACTGTTGTGCAGGGGTACTTGCAGTTGCTTTCCTTCTACCACAAGGGCCAACAACCCTAGCTTGTCTTTTCTTTCCTTTCAGATCTGCCGGGAAAAAGACACTATTACAGAAGTTTGCAGCCATCCTCCTGTATGGGGCCTCACAGGGCAAAGCTGCTGGGCTATGCTTATCTGCAAATCAAATCTTCAGCATAAAAAGGAAACAGGGGAGGCCACAGAGAGACTAGGAATCTCTGAGAAACCAGACATTTCCCAGGCCTGCAGCACCCAGAAGTGTCTACCTCAAAAAGAATATAAGAGAAAGATGAACAGTTTTGTAAATTCAGAGAAAAAGGCAAAACACGTAGGGGATGAGTCTTTGAAATAAACGAGTTTAACTACATTTCTGCCCTAGCACTGGCTGATGACAAGCTGACTTTCAGGGTTTGACACTTCCTTAGTAAAGCTAATTAACATCACATTCTTATGCTTCTGATGGGGAGTAACTGTCTTTATGAAAAGCACTGCTGTGTATATTCCATAGTAAGGCTACAGACTACTGCCAGTCGTAGCCCTGCTCCCCCAGTCTCAGTGCTCACTGCAGAGGATTGTGGTGTTTTCTAAATAAGAATAAGAATGAAGATATACGAATGAAAACATAGTAATGAACAGCAAGATTTTTAATAAATGGTATGTGTATATATATATTCTTTCTTATTTTTTAACCCTGAGGCCCCAAAGGACAGTAGGAATTTTACTTCTTTTCTCTCTGTCTGTATCTGGGCAGAAAGTTGCATGCCCTAATGCAATATGTTGTTCACAGCAAATAGCACAGCAGTGACTACGCATGTCTGTCTGCTTCCTTTTTGTATATACCCTGAGCAAGGATTTTTCTCATCTCATACATCATTCACAAACCACTGCAGTGATTCCCCAAAGTCTGTCTGTACCTTCAGCACAGTGAAGAAGAAGAAATGAGCTACTTTAAAAAGGCTGCCTTTTCTCTCTAAAAGATTGGCCTTTCACTGCACTGCAAAGTCCCTGAGGCTGTATTTTTGGCAGTGCCTCAGGAACAGTGTGCCCTTTAAGACTCTAAATGGGAAGAAAACAACAAAATTGGGGATGCACATTCAGTATTTTAGTTGTTGCTCCAAGCACACCCCTTTTATGACTCTGGAAGTTTGTAATTTTATTCAATAAGAACTCCCACAACCAGATAATAGTATTTCACATCATAGGTCTTTTAAGAGCAAAACAAATCTACCTGACACATGGCCAGAAGAAAATAATTTATCAAAGTTGTGTTGAATAGTGAAATAAGCTGACTTCCACTATGATTATATTTTGGGTTAATTCATTTTATGACATTATTTAGGAATAATTTTGAGCAACTGAGTATTTGGCAGGTAGCAAATAATTGTGCAGTAGGCTGTTCATAAAGAGCCTCACAAGTTAATACAGAAGTTACACTCACCTGTTTTGTATCTGGATTCATTAGATTTAAGCTGCTGGTGGAGATATTCAACATTATGCTCATTCCTGCAAACTGAAGATTGCTCTTTCCCAAGATGCTAGAAAGGACTTTGCTTGGTGGCTGTGAGGAGGGGGGGAAAAAGCAGATTTTGGTTCTCTGATTTTTTTGAATGACCTTCATTGTATGCAGGGTTAGTGTGATCTTAAAGGCTTCTAAAAAGTTTATGACTTTTCAAAGATCATTTAATTGCAACAGCTGTCTTCCTCTGGAAATTATTTCTCATTTATTCTACTACTACGACTACAACAAGTACTACTACTACTACTATTAATAATAACAGTAACAATAATAATAATTATACTAGCTAAGCAGTTCTTCATCTACTCTTCACAAAAAAAAAAAAATAGGGGTTTTGTGAGACAGCACCAGTGTCATCTTCACCAAGGGACCAAGTAAGCAGATTAAGATGAATGCTTTCAGTCAGTACCTTAAAACAATGCTTTTGTTCTATAAAAATAGCTTCAGCTCTTGAAATTTACTGTTTGCTCTACATCTACTGACTATTCCTTGTCACATGGAAAGTGGGACTCCAGTGATACCAATGGAATGCTCACAAAATGGGATACGGAGTATTATGGACTAGATGACCTCTAAAGGTCCCTTCCAACCCCAACCACTCTATGACTTTGCTTGTAGACTTTAGAGTAGGTAAAGGCCAGAATAGGCAAATAACACCTCTTTATGCTGGGGTGAAATATGCATCTAAAGATTATCAGAGAATAAATCTAAGAATGTAATACAGGGGATGTAATAGTATTGATAATGTTTATAGGCATATCACCAGCTCTTAGGAGGTATTGCAGCAATAGAAGTTATGCTGTCACAGCAAAATTCATAAACTTCTCACCTTTGACAGCTATGGGGAACCACATTGTTGCATGACACCAGCTGCATTCAAGTAACCACAGCCTGTAAAAAATAAGGCTGCCCAGCAGTAACAGACCGAGCCCTTTAACTTGCTCTACTTGCACTGGTGAATATTCACGCTGGTCATTAGGATATAAACACAAAATTACTGGAGACAGTGCTCTTCTGCCACTATTTTTGCACTTGTCCTAAGCTTCCTGCAAGCTTGGATGGTTTTTTTCCTAGTAGGATGGACACACTTGAGCTTCCGTAGTCCTGAAAATTTACACACATTCAATTTTATCTTCTTTCCCTTCTGTTTAACTGATTAAAAATACACTACATACATACTGCTCCTGTGTAACATGCTGCACTATTTCAACCCTTCATGTTACAGAGCTAGTACTTCATTAACTTCTCTTTTGAACAAACTCTTTTGACTATTGTTGTATCTCCTCTTTCCTCAATCCTTAATGATTCGCGAGTCATGCCTAAGGATCACCTACCCACAGTGCAGGTAAAGTGTGAAAATTTGGCTTCAGGAAGTACACGTCACTTTAACCAAATTGATATGCCACTAGTGGCAGAAACATGATGAATGTACAGACGAGCAAAAGACACATGTCTGACATTTGTCTGAAATTCTGTTGCTCTTTTCAACAACTTATAAGCAACATTACTTTTAAAACCTGTAATACAGCCAGGTGTCTCACTAGGCACTTGGAATTCTGTTTAACTTATTTTTCAACTACAATTTGTGTCATTCTGCTTTCCAGGAAGAAAGATAATTGTGTCTTTACTTTCAAATTTAAAATGAAAAGCCAGAGAACCAAGAAATGCCAATGAGATAAATTTGGTGGAGGTGAAACCATAGCCTTAATTTCTGAGATAATTTCCAATTACACTGTGACACATGTTGTCACATATGACTGACTTTACCAGGACAGGATTCTCCATTGCAAACAAGTGGCATTTCATTGCGTTCCTTTCTGCTAAGATTCTGCCCAGATGGTGCAGCAGCTGGGGAAGCAGGCAGACCTTTTCCTTCACCTGCACATTCTCCTTCTGTGCCCAAGAACACACACAAGTGCTATAATTAACTACTTTCAATGCTTCTTCCCTTAGAGATAGCATCACATCCCAGCTTTGCTAGCAGGCCTCTAGAAGAGACTGTTGAGAGCCATCAGTGCAGGAGCTGAGCCAAGGCTTCCTCCTCTCTCTGTAGGAAGACTCTAACTCCCAGCACACAAATAAAAATAAAAGCATGGCAGTAATGATGTCAGGTACACACTGGACTCACCATCAGCACTGGGCACTGAGCATCAGCCACAGGTGTTTATGGAAAAAGCAGAGGGAACAAAGGATCACCTCATATGCTCTTTCCATTTTCAGAAATCAGTGATTACCAAACTCTTCAAACGTCATCAGTATATCTATCTTTCAAGAACAAATCTAGTCACTTTCAAAACTATATATGTTTTGGGCTTCTGCTGTATCTTCCAGCACCTATTTCCATAATTTACTCATGAATTTTATGGACAGGCATCCCATTTGTTGGTTTTAACTCTTCCACCTGCAATCTACAAAAGAAAGAAAGTAAAAGGAGGAGGTTTCTATGGAAGGAACATAACGGCACAATCTTCATCCTAGATGCGCTTATATTTCCAGATGCGTACAAAAGCAGATCCTGACCAAAAGGGCAAGTGACAACATACAGTGAGTAAAAATAGCCAATACTTTAAATGATTAATCATCTGCAATTCTCAAAGCTGCCTTAAAGTCACCTGCCTGCTGTGCCTGGTCTCCACTGTGCTGTACAGAGAAAATACAGTCAACTGCACTACAAGGAAAAAAATACCTTTCGTTTCTTGAAGGCTCTTTTGGCACCAGGCATGGCTTCACAAACACGACTGATTGCTTCCCTGAAGAGACAGAAAAAAGCTTTATGGCAAAAGAATGTGGGGGTTTCTTCATTATGCTTGAAATGCACTGGAGAGAATAGTTTCAACTGTATTTCTGCGCACAAGTGAGGACAGTTAGCAGGTCAGTTAGCTTTCCTTTAAAAAAGAAAATGTTTCCTCACACTATTAAAAAGACTTTTTCTCACTGTAAATTAGAATATTGCTCATAATACCATCTTTTCAGTCTCACTTTTGTACATTGCTTAACGCCTTCTTTAAAAAAATGTTTATTTTAATGTGAGAGTTAGAAAGCACAGTTTTTCTTACTACTATACTATGCGCTTTTCCAGTTAGAGCAAAGCCACCAGGATTTAGGTAGTAACAGAACCCTAAAATACTCTTGGTAATATGTACATTCTATACAGTACATGAGATGTACAACATTTTAACTTATACTATTTCAATACAGTCTGAGTAGTTTATTAGTGACCTTACATTTATATTATAGGGAAAATCATTGCCTGAAACAATATTTTGTTTCAGTTTTTTAATGTTGCTTCATTCTTCCCATCGCATTCAGGTTGACTGAAAGAAATTTTTGTGCAAAAGGGATTTTAATCTTTACCCTTTCATAGAAGAGTAACTCTACATCACAAAAACTCTTGAAATCATACAGCTCCAAACAAATCTTACAGTTCTTCTCAGTATTTAGCAACTTATTATCTGAATGGCCAGTCTGGTCAGTGTTTAGAATTTGCTCTTGTACACACACAGGCCTTCCCTCTAACCACTAGGTACAAGGCTTTAATAAGCTTGTCCCATTGCAAGACAGAATGGTTTCACAGGAATGAGAAAGTGTGACTCCCAAGCTTGTTTAATTATTTGTATATGTACTGAGACTAACAGCACATTATATTTAGAGCCAAAACCATGCAAATAACACACACTTTATGCAAACACCCTCAAAACTCAAAAACAACCAACTGACCAACCAAAAAAGCCAAACAAGAAAACAAAAGAATGGGAAACCATGAACTGCAAGATAAAGAACAGGCAAAATAATCAAAACCTTGAAACATCATCTAGATAAAGACACAAATTATATTAACTTTATGCCATGTGCTGTATATTTCAACTACGCACAGGATCAACAAGTGAGCCAGGAGAACAATGCCATACACATATATCAGCATTCACTCAGCAAATGTGACAGATTAGATCAGGTGGCAATCAGTAACTGATATATAGTCATGCCTTGTGTGCTTCTAGCTTGGACCCAGTTCAAGGTTGGAATCACCTGAAAGAATCACATTGTATTGGTTTGGGGAGATGGGTGGTTGGGGGAATGGAGCACACCTTGAAGCAGGTTTACAGTCCTGCCATTCTGAAGAAGTCTGAGATTTATAGCGAGAGATGGTTAAAAAACCTTTCATGTACCCTATCTTTTCTTCAGGTCTAGAGGAGAGGTGGTTTGTTCCATAACTTCTCTTATGCCTTTTTTTCCCCCACCTACATCTGTTTATCTAATAACATTGCCTCTCACTAAAAACCCTGCCTTGCATATGCACTTAGACCATTATAGCTACAACAATACCCCAATTCACGGTTCAGCACCTGTATTTAGTTCCCACCTTCACCACATTTTTTTTTTACTCCAAACAAGTGTTTTAGTTAAAGTAATAACTAGATTTTCATACAGAGCAAGTAAAAAGCAGTTGGTTTAAAAGAACATGTCTGATGCATCTTAGAAATAAAGCACAACAAGAATCACACAGAGATCACCATAATACTGGGACAAGGGTTATTCCTGAAAATGTAACCAGGGAAAAGTAAATAGTACACCTCTCAAAAGAAAAATTCACCAAAAATGCTTTTTTTTCACTCAAGAAAAACAAGGAGACATCATCTTTTACAGTGTCATCCTCTCTGGCTTCTGAGCTAAAACTTGTGGTTTCCCATCTCTTCTGCGGAAGCAAATCCTTTGGAGGTAATAGAATGAGAAGTTCAGGCCAGTGGTGGTCTCCAGCAATTTCAGTCTTTCAGACCCACGCTTCTTGTTTCACCAGATTTGTCTTAGTTTTCCAGGCATTTTGACTGCAAGCTGCTCTCACAGAGACATCACCAACACTTGTCACCTCTTTGTCTATTCCAGTGGTTCAGCTGGTACATTGAGATGTACCTTTCTGCCTCTCACAGAAAGGACTTGGATTTCTGAGATATGTGCTTGAGGGATAAATTAGTCTATAATTTCCTTTCTCTTCCTATTTGCCCCCTTCATCTTCTCTCTCTAGAGGCAGCATGGAACTTACAGAAAGACAAGGGGATTTTCAGGCCACTGAACCCAACAAAAAATGTGTGTAATCTTGTTATTTTTCTAGGGCAGGGTTTGGTCTTGTAGCAGTTTTGCTACTACCGCTCCTATCTGCCAGCTCCTGATAACCAGACATTAAGTGTGTTACTCAATAGATTCATCTGAGTCAAGGACCTTGTTGATCAAAACTACCACTTGAGATAGGAGAGGAAATAACTAGGTGAAAGCTGAAGCCCAGGGCAAGGCTTCACAAGGCAGACTTGACTACTCCTTGCACACCCTGTCTTGGCAGAGCAGAGAAGGCTTAAAAAAAAATCCTAACAAACAAAAGAAACCCCAAAACAACCAACTAACCAAAAAAACCCCAAAAAATAAAAAACCACCCAACCAAAAAAAACCCACAAAAAACCAAACCAAAACAAAACAAACCCAAAACAAAACAACATCCAAAAAACCAAACAAACAAAAAAAACCCCAAACAAACAAACAAACAAAAACAAACAAAAAAACCAACAAAACCACAAACCCAACTGGGCTACATGTCCCCCCACTCCCTAAAAAAGCAGCTCTCTGTCTTCCTTTTGGTAATATTTCTTTGTTTTACAGAACACAGTGTTCCCAAAGGCTGTGGGAAGACTGGAAGTCTTTGGGTTTTGAACCTCTGTGAATAGTAAATGAATTCAAGCAACTGCAGGGTTCAAGTTAACAATGTTTTTAGTAAAAATGCTGGGAACTTCAGAAAACATGTTCATAGAGCAATTCTGTGTAATCAAGGTCAGAGTGTCCTGGCAGCAACTCTTTGCATGCCTGAAACAGAAGGCACAGTACTTTTCCTGCGTGGGAGTTGAGTCTAAAAGCAGTATTTGAAGAAAATAAGAAGAATAAGGACAACCAAACATCTGTCGCTGCACTGAATATGCATTTTATCCAAGGGTCACCAAGATGCTTAGAGGGATGGAGCACCTTTCCTATTAGGAGAGGCTGAGAGAATTGGGATTGTTCAGCTTTGAGAAGTGAAGGCTTTAGGGTGAACTAACATGACCTTCCAGCAGCTGAAGGGAGCCTACAAGAAAGGTGAAGAGAGACTTTTTACAAGACCCTTTAGTGATAAGATGGGGGGAATGGCTTCAAACTGAAATGGTAGGTTAGACAGGATATTAGGAAGAAATTCTTCACTGTGAGGAAGGTGAGGCACTGGAACAGGTTTCCCAGAGAAACTGTGGGTGCCCCAGCCCTGTAAGTGTTCAGGGCCAGGTTGCATGGGACAGTGAGCAACCTGGTCCAGTGACAGATATCCCTGCCCATGGCAGGGGATTGGAACGGAATGGTCTTTACAGTCCCTTCCAACCCAAACCATTCTATGATTCTGTGAGAGTTCCCTGATCAGATGGCCAGATAGCCTAGTGATGTGGAAAGGATTGCCTAATGACTTTTTTCAGCTTGCACAGTTAGGAAGGACAGGGTAGATGTAACTATTTTTTTCAGCAAATCAAATTTGAAAATGCCTCAGCAGCACCTGATACACAAATCAAGCCCAGGAGCAGGTATTGCCACTAGGCTGACTTGTGCATGGAAACCCTTGCCTAAGGAAGGCAAAACCAAAAGTTCTGTATATATCCGCATGGCTAAATATTGCACAATTTGGAAAAGTTGGATGTGATTACATTTGCTGCCTTTCTAATAAGAAAATTATTTGACATAGACAGACATTACACATTTCTAAGCCACATCCTGCTTCATTAGTTAGGCTCAGATAAAAATCAGTGTAAAGTTATGCCGATCTCTTGTAAAATTAGTTATTGTGCTGTCTGCAGTAAGGACCACATGCTGAGTTCCAAATCTGCCCAAGAGTATTTTCTGATTTGCAGATGGTCATACTGTGGAGTCATTTTCTTGGCACAAAACATGTTGCGTATTTTGAATATAATTTCAGCATTCAGTGCATCCAGTAAAAAATCATGAATATTCATTTTCTGAGATTGACAGATACTGCTTTAAAGTGGCTTGACATCTAAGAAAGAAAAAAGGACATTTCACATTGCTATTTAGTTCCATTAAAAAGACTAATGCCCTGGTATCATTCATAGCTTTAGTGATATTTTATTCTGTTATACAAAATAGTCCGCTCAGAAAGTTCACACGTGTTCCTCTGTGAAACATCATCACATGAAAATACTCTCCATTTTTTGATTGTGCTGTTCCTGTTCTTAATTAATATGATTTTATTGATTAAGCCCCAGAATTCTGGAACTCATATTTCAGGGAAATTACATACACACAGAAAAAGCACTGATTTTCTCAGCATATTTGGAAAAAGTAAAGCCATCTCAAATAATGGGATAAGAAAATGTGACTACATTTTAGTCTGAAATGTTTTGTTTCAAAATATCTAAAACCTACTAATACTCTCTTTTTAAGATATTCTAGAGTCCTGTAGTTTCTAAGTTTACTTCTCCCTATCTCAAAAGTTTAGGACTTCACAGGTTGAAAAACAGAGAGAAAAAGACTGACTTTTTAAATGGAAGAACTGTTCAGAAGGTTCACAGTTATTTCTTAACAGTACTAATTTCCTGTCAATTTTAATCATTACCAACTATTGTACCAGTATTTGCTGAGAAGCAAAGTCTGTACTAAATTCAAAAATAACTTGCTTCTGAGAAAATATTTTAAAAAAAGAAACAGAGACCAAAAATACATTTTTAGAAGTATG